TGCATTTGTTCTGAGCATAATGGGAAGTCACCGAAGGGTTTCAAATCAGGCAAATGACTTGATCTGATTCATGTTCTTAAAAAAATCATTCTGATTGCTATGTCATATTATGAGAGAAAACAGCCCCCTGTGCCTGCATGAGTCATACTGCTCCACTGCTAGGGATGGGAATTCTAATCATAATAACCACTTCCTGGATCTGAGGCCATAGCTTTCATTTTTATCATTAGTTCAAAAGAAAAACAAATTTAACTTTCAATCGATGAGATGAGCACATCCTTATAACCACATATAGAAATACTGTTTTCTTTCCTGCATGTTTACTTTTAAAAAGTTATAAAAGTGCCACAGGCTTCTGGCAAAAAACTTCAGGCAAAATACCAAGGGAGGTAGATTAGTAAATACAGACCCCTAGACATTGCTCCCCAAGTGCCTATCCCTTCCAACTTCTCACTTTTATATCCATCTAAGTTTTTAAAGAAACTTTTTGGAGATTCCCTTCCTACAAGTTGACTGTTTCTGATCATCTTTATGACTTTATACTGATCCTTACTCACAGCAACTTTTTTACACTAGCCCAACTATCCAACTTCACCAAGCAGGCTCCTGTTATCCTCTTCCCACAAACTGGTCTGGAAGCAAACACTCAGGATGAAAAGGAACCATTAGTGGTAAGATTAGCAAAAATATCAGCGGGCTTGGAGACAAAATCATTGAGTTCCAGATTCTGTTCCAGCACTCCCTCCCTCTGAGATACTGAGCAAATCACAACCAAGTCTTAAGTCTTAGTTTCCTCATATTTTGCTTATCTCACAGGGTTGCTATGAAGTTCAGGGTACTGCTAATATTCAAGACAGGCTGCCAAGCCCATAGACACTGGATTTGAGAAAAAAAATACTCTGTCACTAAACTAGACAACTGATTTATGTCATCCTAAATGACTGTACTTTGGATCACCATCCACAGAATGAGGTTTTTTTTTTTTTTTCATTCCCACTGCCTGCTGGTGCTCAATGAATATTTCTTGAGTGAATTGACTATTCTCTTACATTGTCTCCTTTAATTCTCAGAATCAAATGAATAACAATTCTTGTGCAGTCAACTTATAAAGCCCAGTTTTTCATACCCAGTTTCAATTCATCTCAACAGTCCAATGAAGTAGATTTTTATTGTCATTCCTACTTTACAGGTAAAGTTTTTAAGGTTTGTAGAGGTCGAATCATGTGCCTAAAATCATGCAGCGAATAGGTAGCGAGCCAGAAATAAACATGCCTTGGGGCCTCCCCGGTGGCGCAGTGGTTGAGCACTGGGTTGTGAATCTGCCCGCAGCCTCTGCAGCACTGGTTCGATCCCCGGCTGCTCCCCAGCCACCGGAGGAGGGTCCCACATGGCGCGCAGACCTCTCCTGCCGCCCGCTGCTCCCCTCAGCAGTGTACTTCAGTTCTTCTGCCTGCTCTGCTCCCCGCTCTGGCTCTGGTGAATTCTCTCCCCCTCCCACGCTTCTGACTGTACACAGTGCTTGTATAAATAAAAATAAATAAATAAATAAATCTTAAAAAAAAAAGAAATAAACATGCCTTTCTTTCATCACCTAGAAATGGTTATAAGAGTGGATCAGGGGGTGATGACTTGTAATATGAGAACTCATTGTGGGTAGGTAATTGTCGGGCCCCTGGAAAGTGGTGTGCATCTAGGGAAGAGACACATCTTCAAGCAGCAAACAGATACTAGGAACTGTACCTGGTACTTGAGATTCAAGAGTGAACTAGAAGTTCTAGGCAGGCCTGAGAGAGTGCCTACCACATAAAGGCTGGTAGGCCTGCATGGCAGGGTGAAGCCTCCAATATTTCTGTGTAATTTTCCAAATCTACTGAAAGATCTGGCACCAAATCTCCAGAAACCTGTACTTTAATATCTTTTACCAGTGGTTCTTATGTCATCAGGGGAAGGTGGATGAGCTCAGTGCACATCACATTGGCTCCTTTTAATTAGGCCAGTGAATAACCAGGAAAAATGCCTCAATGGTAAGGAGAAGCTTGTGGAACACAAACTCATACAATGAGATCCTGAAGCCCCTTTTCAAGAGGGGACTCTTCCTTCAATAACAATCATAGAGTTTTGATAGAGAAGGTAGCAATTCCCTGCCAGGGCTTTTTGCTCCAAATCCCATCCTTTTCCCCTTCTAGCTGTATTCTAGATTCAATCTCCTGAATCAAGATCTTAAGATGTCCATGTTGAGGCACTAACGATGGATAACGCATATGCCCTGGACCTCCTCAGCCTGACAGCTTGAGCAAACTTGAGGGAGCCCAAAGGCTAAAGTAGCTTTCTCTTACCCTGAATGTTGATCTCTCTTCAAAGTCTTTATATTGTTTTTGAGAACAAAAATTTCTTACTTGTGGTTGTTTGAACATCTCTCTTACTCCACCTCCCAGCAGCAGTTAAGATGAGAGTGCATGTTATGAAAGAGGGAAGAGAGGCCAGGAGAGGGGTCTCACGTAGCCAAGGGGAGGGGAGGGGGCAGAATCTGAGATTCCAGGGAAGGCGCTTGGGAGACTGGAAGCTGGAGTCCAAGGGACAGTTGCCTGGATGCTCAGGAAGCAAGTGGCCTCGCTTCTGCTTTTGCCTGGAGTTCTGCAATGACTGTCCTTATTCCCCCCAATTTACATGTTGAACTCCTAATCCCTTATAAGGAGGTGGGGCCTTGGGAGGTAATGAGCTCAGGGGGGATGGGGCTTTCAGGGACTTTTGTTCTTAAGAGACCCCCGAGAGCTCACCCTTTCTGCCAAGTGAGGATACAGTGAAAAGTTAGCCTTCTGCAAGAGGATCCTCACGAGAACCTGACCATGCTAGCCTGATACTCTCAGACTTCCGGCCTCCAGAACTGTGAGAAATACGTTTCTGCTGTTTGTAGGTCAGCTGGTTTATGGTCATTTGTTAGAGGAACCAGATGAGACTAAGACACCCGGGATAGTCTCAGTTTACACCTGTTGTCTCCACATAATTGTTCCCTACACCATCCCACTGTCACAAGTATCCTGACCATACATTAAATTGCCCGGCCATTCTAATGAGGGAACAGGAGCTCTTTTTTCCCCATTGATGTTATCAAGGTTGCTGCTTTGAAAAAGAAACTGGCACTTTCAGGTATAGTATAGTAAGATTCATAACGGCAGCGACTGCCAAACAATTGATTAAAAAAAAGTGGATTATTATATATATTACAAAGAGAATGTCTGATAAACTACTAAATGTCTGTGATTGTATTCTATGCCCACCATCTGGTCACTTAGCCACGTGTATGAAGTAAGGCCTCTTCCCTGCCTACCCTCATACACACTTGTCTTCTGAGCAAACCTTAGCTGCAGCAGTATTTTAATGATTGCACTGACATCTGGTGGTCATTTCCAGGTTTTTCTATTTACCTCATATTCCTTCAAAGCCACTTTTATCTGAGCCCTAGAGTGGCAATATGTGAAACTCAATTCACAGAAGTTGTTGATAGCTGGTAACCACATCTGTTCTTAAAGGGTATTTAGATTAGGGGACTCCCTGGTGGCGCAAAGGGTCAAGACGCAGCACTGCAACACGAGTTCCATCCCCATAGCCACCGCAGCATCCCGCTGCTCCCTTCAGCAGTGTATTTCAGTAGATCCACATGTTCTGCTCCCCACTCTGACTCTGGTGAATCTTCTCACCCCCACCCCGTATCTCTGGCTTGCACCCCGGCTCTTGTATGCATATATAAATAAAATAAATAAATCTTTTTTTAAAAAGGGTATTTAAATTAGAGGCAGGGATAGTGATTGTGTAGAAGGAACCCAGTAAATTAACACCACTGAAATTTCCTTGTTAGATTTCAGGTTAATGGAAGAGTTGGTTTTTTTTTTGGTTTGTTTTCTTTTACATACAAGTGTCCTTCCTGAAATGATTTTAAGTAGCATGAAAGGGCATTAATGTTCTGGATAGCAATAAGATATCAAAATCCAGGGCAGTGCAGGTGTGATTAAACATCAACTGGAGAAATTCTTTATGAAATTTATTTTTGTACATCATTGTTCATTTTTGGACAGTATTTGCCTTCTCCCTTCAGGGGTAGTCTCTGTAGCTCTCCCGCTACCATAGTACCCATGACCCATCACCACAGTCCCTAGTGCTCTTCTCTCCTGTTGTGACCCTCCTCCCTCCCCTCCCCTGCCGAATGCCTCAGATCTATGGTCAGCTTGCAAGTGGTGTCTTTTTCCTGACCCTTTGTTCGGTTTCTCTATACATCCCAGCTCCATCCATGTTGGTTTAAATGGCATGAGAAATTCTTATAGGAAAACTTGGACAAGTGATTAACTGGTTTACTAAAGGTCTGGCTATCAGGGAGTTGTACAGGTTGGTGAAGAGGATCAGCTATAGCAAAAAAGAGTGAGTAGTTGAGTCTTACTTTAGAGGCCAGCTTTCCTGATGTTTACTGTTCCAGAGAGTACAAAAAGGAAATGCTTGCACAGTCAACCACCTCCCTGAAAACTTCCCCTCCCTAAACGTATTCTTTACAGTCACTTCGGGGGCTTCCCAAGAAAACATTTGAATCTCAGCACACCATAAAGAGGGCACTAAGAAACTTACTCTTCATTGGAGGTACATTTTAATCACCCAGCCTACTCCTACTACTTGTAAGAAGCAGGCAGGTGGCCTGTCAAAGCCCTTAATCTCACATCTTTAAAGACTCAAAAAAGGAGGGAAAAAAATACAGCTCCTAGTTCATTCTCATGTCATCAGGAGAGTATCATTAATGTATGAGTCAGGAACATTTAAGTGGCCACAATGAATGAGGTATCTGGAATCTCTTGGAAAATGCCAGCTGCCCCTTAATATGTCTCCTTCTGGTAGAAAGTAGTACTGAATCTGTAAATGTAAAACTAATGAAGTATGTAATAAATCTTTCCAAGATGTGAGCCTGCTGGTAGGGACGTGCAGTTGCCTTTTATACTACCCTTCTCCAACCCTCCCTTTTGCTTTTTATGATCAGTTATCAATAGCTACAACATTTAGCGTCTTCAGAAACACACCAGACACCAGGATGGGTAACGCTGTGCTTTATTACATGCATAATTACAAATCTGTGCTAAGTGAAAATGTATAAAGCAATGGCAACCTGCGTTTAAGCCACACAGAGAGAGGGCTGGACAATCCCATTAACCCTTCTGCCAATGTCCACCCCATTGCCTTTAACATCATTATTTCCATTTCTTACAATTTGCATAGCACTTACTTCTCAAAATACTTTCTATTAACTGTCTCAGTTTATCCTCACAACAACCCTGTGAGGTAGGTAGGGCAATTAACACTATCCCCATTTTGCAGATGGGAACACTGAGGCACAGAGCGGTTAAGATCTCGAGACTAGTTAGTAGAAGCACAGGGATTAGAAACCAGGTCCCCTAACTCCCCAGCCTGCCTTCCTTGTTAGACTATGTTGCTATGCATGACCAGGGAGTAAATGAAGTGAGCTGTGAGCCACAGTTGGGTACAGGCTATGTCTATGAACAGGGACCAACACCTCTAAAAATTAGAATAAAGCTAAGAAAGTGTGATTAAAGGATTGGGAACACTCAGATCAATAATTACTCTGAACAGCTCAGCACCAAGCTTCCTGTGCAAACTCAGGCTACTTTAGCTTTGGTTGACACTAGCTTCTGGATGCCTAGCTACTGCTGACGACTATACATTAGCTTTAGTTGTACGTTTACCAACTCTCAGGAACTAAAATCTAGAGTCAGACAGGTTTTCTTTGGCTACTGTAGTTGGAGCTAGCCCTACACATCAAAGGAGCTACTGTAGGGCTATTCATAAGGTGGCCCATGGGCTGGAACCTGTCCCCTCTGATCCTCCTGGTCTCACTGGCTCACCCAATGGGTGGTATATTTCCCATAGCCAGAAATGAATGGTTAGAGGTAAGAGCAGGAGGCTGACCCAGGTCAAATGAATGAGAGTCACCATCGTAACATTAATGTCACCTTAGGTGAAATGACCAGGGTGCAGTCTGTCAGACCCAACTCCCTTCTGGCCTGTATCTGGTTAGCAGCATAGCTTCCAAAGGCAGTTTAAAAGAATAAAATATTAAGCACATCATTTGTATCTAGAATGAAATTAATTCTTAATCATGACATAGTCCCAAAGGACCAAATATATCATAAAAATGTAAATATTTATATAAAAAAAAGCTGAGTAATAAAAAGTAGGACAACAGGATACCAAGGAGGGAGAAGGAATAAAGTGAAAGAGGAGAAGGAGCACTCTTAAAGGACCATATATTTTGAGGTACACTCAATATGATAATGAGACTGAACATTCCCATGCTGAAAAACTATCTCAGGCTACTCGTTTGTCCCCATTTTGCCAGGTGACATTTCACTTGCCATATCTTAGACTGTCTCTAGCTTTCAAAAGATTTGTACTAGTATATAGTAAGGCTTAGTAATGAATACTTTCTATGTCTGCCTTGAGTTGCTAAAGCCCCTGACACCCCCAACAGATAGTACTCATTGGCTTCTGCTCCTACAGTGGAGCAAAGCTCCATTGGCCACATCAACTCAGAGTGTCTTCCACTCTCTATTCTCAGAATGATCTTCCTTTTCTAAGGTCCACGTTCAAAACAAAAGCTTGTAACAACTGAGAACATTTTGAATTTAGGGCATCGGGCGGGAAGGAGAAAAACAAAGGAAATAAGGAGGGAGATAGAGAAGGTGAGGCAGAGATGTTTTTTTTAAAACCCTCATTTTTATACTATCCCATTTCTGCCTAAAAAAGGCCAAACTCTGGGCAAGGCATTCATTCGATGAGTGTGCACACTGAGGCTGAAGACCCTTTGGAAAGAACTTAGAGGTAGGAATTTATGACTGTGGGGTTGGGCTGGACCACTTGTAGGTTCAAGCCAAGACACACAAACTCCACACATTATATACTTACTTTCTTGGGTGATTTGGCAAAATCAGACTACAGAGTGGGAAAAAAACAATTTTATTCCCTGCATCACTTCAAAACTTTGCCCAGATTCAGATATTTAAAAATGAGTCTGGCCAGTGAATATCTGGGATCTGGGGAGTAACTAGAAGTTGCTAACTCCTGCCATTCTAAGAACATGTCTCTTTGGAGCAAACAACTGAAATTTAGGCAGTCAAGGTGAGTGGGCAACATGGGTCCAGTACATGGACTGGACTTCAAATTTACACAGCTCCTTGAGCTCTAATCTGAGAAGTCCTTGCCTTTTTCTTCTTAGTACACAATAAGTAAACATTAGGGAGACTAAAAGTATAGACTTAAAAAAATATTTCACTATCAAAATTTAAGATGATCAACCTAACACTTATGTCTCCCTTTTTCACATGCAGATGTCCTGCCCTGGGTTAGCCCTCCCCACAAAAGCAAGCTGTCTCCAGCCCTGTGCTGCTCTGAGTCTCTTATTTGCTGGTCTGTGAGCAATTACTTGACTTTTTCTCTCCTTGAAGCTCAGAATCAGCAGTTACTAAATGCCAGGATGTATGGGGTTGGGGCAAGGGATGGCCTTCCTCCCATCACCTTAGTTGAACTCATATATTTTCTTACTAGGGCTTTTCCATGACCATAACTTTCACTTCCTTCTTCAATGGGGATCCACACAGTCCCAGAGGTGGTTTTTAAAAAATCAAGGTTTTAGGATACAAGTTGATATCACATTTTTAGACATCTATTTTTGTTTATAAGGACTCAATATTCTACTTTCTAAATTCCTAACTTTTCTCAGGGTCTTCAAGAGCTCACTACTCTATAGACCACCACAGAAGATGCTTTCCTGCTTTCTCTGAACTGAGAGGTGGCCTGTATTTGGCTCTGATCCAGTGTAGGTAAACTGGCCCCTCACAATACAAGGTGGCCAGTCTTTAGGATGTACTGTGATGATATAAAACACACTGGCCATTTCAAATTCTCAAAATTGTCTTCACTATCATCATTAAAAACTCAACTTCAAAAATTGCACTTTATGATTTATTAAAAAACAAAAGATACTGTAGAATAACAAGTACACTTTCCTACTCATCGCCTAATAAAACAAACCAAGATTAAGAATCAACAGGGACAGGTGATTGAAATACTTAAAACATAACAGTAATGATTACTTTCCATGATGGATTCTATTGCACGTCAAGGTTTTAAAAACATTTGTTCCCCCCACACCTGAATAGGTTTCACAAGATTTTGGTTGATGATGACTTCTCAGCCTCAGACCACACCCTATTTATTTTTATTATCGTTCTCATGTTCAAACAGAATTGAAGACTTTCTAAAGAAATTCATACTGTGCTCTGCTCTTCGTGTAAGGGGTTCAGATTCAGCCTCTGGTGCAAAGAAGTTCAATCCGCAAATTGTTTGCTCTGCCAGTTAACAAATCCAGGTATCATCAATGTTAGATTATCCACCAGAGGATATCTGTTCTGTGGATTACCCCACCTCTACTCCACAGCTGGGCTGAGCCAGAAGGACACTGGAAGCAGAGAAAGAGAAGAGCATCTGAACAAATATCCATGTAGAATGATCTTGAAAGTGGCCATTAATTTACATTTTCCATCCCCTGCTTCTTCCCTCCAATAGTATAACTAATCACTCATGAACTGTGTTGGCTTTCTTAACTCTTCTCACTGAGGATCTGAAGACTCAAAATATAGCAGTTAAGACTTTACAAACTTACGGACTCATTCCTTTCATGGCCAGATGTCGCCCAGCTATTTTTCCCTCGGGAAATCCTAGCTCTCTTGAATTACTAATTGGCATTTGTTTGCAATTCCTTCTCTTGTGTAAGGACATTTTCTTTTTTAATACCAAAATACCCTAGCCTCAACTCATATTCATTTTAAAATCAACAGATTATCTAGTCTTTTGCCATTGAGGTATATGGCCATTTGAGGCTACTGACAGACCTCCCTATACAGGCTTTGTTTGTGGGTTAAGTATGCCCAACTGCTGAATTGCCAATGGCAGAAAGAACATTTTCCTTTGCCTCAACACAACTAACTCTGAGTATCAAGGTGCTGAGCTCACACTCTAGCAGACAGCTCTAGTCACAATTAGCCAACCTTTGAGCCAAACCATAGGACTGGACATATAATGGATACCATACACTACAGCTACTTCTAGCACATGAGTTACAAGGATTCCTGAGAAGCTGAGGTTAATGAATGAGATTTATCAGGAATGAGGTATCAAAGGGATATTATATTATTCTCTGGAGGGCTAAACGGTGCTTAGCATCTAAAAAGTATACCTTGGCACAGTGTTATCTGATTTCTTAAATTTATTCTCTGAAGTAGCACCTTAACACTGGCTCATCTGTCTAAAATCAAAAACAGCCTAGAAGAAACACAAAGGCAAACTTAGATACCCTCCGTATCGCCGCTGCACTATGAAGTACAACCAAGCCTTTTGCTGTCATCAAATACCAGAAATACTAACATTTCCTGTTTTGCAAACTTTTGTAAGATAGGTAGTAAACCAGAAATATACAGATAAGAACTTTGATTTCTACACAATATACAGGGGTGGCCAGGAAATGGAGCCTCATCATGTGCGAATAAGTGGCATGGAAGAAACACAGATGTCAAGTTACGGATTCATGATGATGATATAATATACCCTACAAGGTTTATTTTCCATTTCACTAAAATGCTAAGTGATATACTTAAAAGAAACTCTGGTGACTGCCTTAATATTTTAAAAAATACACTCAAAATAAGCTTTGGCCACCTAGTTCTGGGCAATAAAAGAATTTCAGATTTTGGAAAGATTAAGAACTAGGGATAAAAAAATCCTAGAATCAGGGATCAGCAACTTTTAAAATGAGGTACACTGAGATCTTTGGGGAGGAGGAGGGAAGAGGCTAGGGAGGAGAAGTTGATTGTAGGCTAGAAGGAGGGTGGGAGGCAGGGAAAAGACTTGGAAGATTTGGAAAGGCTGAACTCTCACCCCTGGCAGCAGTGACTGGGCTATACAACAAAGCAAATGGCTGTGTGTTACCTCGGTCCATCTGCCATAAGGGTGCTGAACCGTGGTTTCCATTTTAACTAGCCCTGGGAGTTACTTTTTTTTTTTAACAATAGGAATGATTAACCAGGAATGATACTCCACCCCAAAGAGAGAACTCCGAACTAAGGAATGAAAAGGGAGAGAAAAATGGAGAGGGAGTAACTACGCATGGGTAAAACTGTAAAAAATGAAACAGTGGTTGGAATGATGGTGGTGGAGCCACCAGGCTGTAACTCCACCAGGAGTCCCAATAGTGTGATGTTTTCGAGCGTGGCAAAGGTGGTGGGAAATGGAGACAGGCACCTTTTCGACTGGATACAAGCACCTTTGATGTCACCAGGCCTTGTCCACGCCCCTGGGTCTTAGGATGGCTCTGCATTTTATTTAGAATTCTAAGGAGCCTCAGGGAATCACAGCTGCCTATCCTATTCCAATGCCTTGAATATATTTCAAAGTACCCCAAGCCTAAATTCATGTTCACTGGAACAACACTGGCTTGTTAGACGTACGTATCATTGGGAGGAAGCACAAGTGCCAGTTATTTTAGTACTGAAGCGCAAGTGCCAGTTATTTTAGTACTGGTGGTCTTTACAAAGGAATGCATGACAATGCAGATATAGCTCAGGATCATCTCTGGTTTACCAGTATGCAGTCTAGACTTGGTTCTCTTTACTCATAATTCCAGAAGCCTAAAGCACCATCACTAATGGAGGTGGCATCTGGGTAAGAGGGTTAGTTGGGACCTCACAAAAATATGAAATTCCTAGTCACCAACTTTGCTTGGAATTTTAGTAATCATTCATTTCAAGGAAGCTGAAGAAATCATTCCTTGCTATTAAGGAATTCATTGCAAAGTCCTTGTCCACTAGCTAACAAATACCATCTGGAAAATTACCCTTTTTGCAGACAAGGAGAAAGCTCTGTAACTTATCTTTGTGCACTTCAAAAGAGTACCAGGAACAAGCAAGCTATAAAAATCAACCTCTCTAAATTCATTTAGAGGAGATTAACCAAAGCAGCATTGTCGTATAATCAGATATTAAAATTAACATATACAACATACACAAACTAATAATGCTAAATATTGTAACAGGAACAAGATAACATTTGAACTGAATCTTCACAGTCTGGAAAATACCATTACTATTTTCCTTCTGGCTTTCCTTTTCTGTGGTTGGAAAAGCAAAGCCATTTAGTTTACACTTCATCTTCCACCAATGACAGTTAGAGTCCAAAAAGTGACTTTTTCATGAATTTCCTGCAGGCTATATAGGTCAGGACAGTTGGAATTTTTCTTGCATAGTTTTCAGTGATTGCATATTGGCTAGAAATTATTTTTAAACTAAAATAAAATCTTAAAAAAAAGAAAAACAATTAAACCATAGCAATCTTGTTTACTCTTTCATGAAATCTTCCTAGCAATATCACAGAAGCCTAACTGTATTCTCTCCTAAAGAGAAGATTAATTTCCAGAGATTATGTAGTGCAACTGGTTAACATGTAGGAAAGAGACAACACACTAATAGAACTTAACCGTCCAAACATGGGAAATGTGTTTTGGGTACCCAGTTTATAAAATATATCCATGGTCTGCAATGTCTTTCCTTTTTTATATCCAGCACAACCCTGTAATTCTAGTTGAAGAGAATGGAATCAGGATCTTGGTTTGCCATCTGTGCTATATGCTTTAACACATCCTTTTTGGTAATGATTCCAAGCAATCGCCTAAAAGACAAAACAAGACAACAAAACACAAATAAATCTGTACTTAAAATAACATTCTCAAAAGTGACACTTTCCCTCTTCAATCCTTTTCAACTTTGTCTTTGGACACCTGCTGCACTTCTAGGATGAGGAGATAGAAGAACTAGGGTATGTGCACCAGGCAGACGGGACATTGACTGTGTTGTTAGACACACTCCAAGCATTTCTACCTCCAGGTCTCAGATTCTATTCTTTCCTCTGCTTTAAATATTCTTCTTCACATGTACACATCTTGCCTCCCTTTTGCAGCCCAGTTCAAATGGCCCCCTTCCAGAAGACCTTCCCTGATCCTACAAGCCAGCAATAACCGTGTTCTCCTGCCAGCAATGGCATGCTCTGCGCACACCTCTTCCAAGCACTGGTCCTATTTGCTGTTGGACTCGAAATGCTTATGTGTTCTCAGCTTCCCTAGGACACTGCATATGCCTTGAGGGCAGAGAAGGGTCTTATTCATTTTTGTGTCTCCCTGGAGTCTAATGGAATACCTTCTTACATGAAGTAGGGATTCAGTAGAAGTTGAATGAATCAGTTAGGAAAAATCCCCTGACCAATTTAATTCCTTCAAGACATCTGTTACAGCAGTTAGAAATTTTAGAGGGGGAAATTCTTATATAATTGCTGGATTAACATACCACGTTCAGGGGAAAAAAAATCACCCCTTCTCCTCAAACTCCCTTCCTTTCCAATAAAAATAGCAGGGTTTCCTTTACTGGGTAATAGCCCAGAAAGAGCAAGCCTTGGCCATGGGAGTCAGAAGACTGCGTTAAAAGCCTACCTCTATAATATATTAAATGGTGGCCCTTGTGTGAATCTTTAAACCTCACTGAAACTGAGTTTTCTCATCCGCTAATAATAGTGAAGTAATTGTAAGGAACAAATACTATACATATACTACCAATATCATTATAATTTCAGTGTTATCCATTCATAAGAACACAGCTGTTCCCTTTATGGGGGAAGAGCTGAATTATTTATAATGTGCGACCAGAAGTTCACATCTCTCAAACATACTTTCTTCCCCAAAGCCTGTCCTGTGAATTATGACTACAGAAGAAACACATCCATCTTCATCCCAAAGCTTCAAAAACGTACTAAAATGCTACTGTTTACTTGAATTTGATTTTCCTTCTTTATCTATGTTCTTTTTGCTCCACCATCCAGTTTGCCTTCACCAAAGAGCTCTCACCCATTGTGCGTAACCAGGCACTGTCGCAACCCCAGCTTGCGGAAGATATCCACCACGATCTCCATGGGCGTAAGGTCGGTCACAGTGAAGGGGCTGAGATCCAGGATGTTCCGAAGCTTTAGGGTGGGTGGGGTATAAGGTGGCATTGGAGGAGAATGCTCAGTGAAATAAATGATGGAAGTACTCACAACCCCATCCTGTTTTTTCCGAGCATTTTCTATTTGAAAAGCAGAAAAGAAAAGTTGAAAATGCAAGTGCTAGTTCTATCATTCTGGCCCTTAACTAGTCCCCTCTTCCCTCCATCTTCTACCATTTCACACATATTTATTCATTTCCATGGTGGACTCCATTATCCCCTTTCTGAAATCCTTACCAATTGAAATAATGAGATCTCGTCGCAGGACAAAACCCACAAGTCTTTGGGACTCCCGGGACACTACCACTGGGAAGCCACTGTAAGTAGTTTCACTGATTATGGTCTCTACATCTTCCACGGTCATACTGTCCTGAGTAAGGACAGTTAACAGAGGATCATTTCTCCGGGGTTTCATCACATCCATTGCCAGGGTCTTATGAGCAAACTCTTCTTTGGCTTCAAGAAAGGGGTATCCATTGAGACGGATGTGGGCATCATAGATGCCCTCCCGCCCAAGAGCATCTGCCACCCACTTGCTGGTCATGGCTGCAGCCATCAGAGGCACGATGTATTCCAGGCCACCAGTTAGTTCAAACATTATGACAACGAGAGAAACAGTCATCCGTGTCACCCCACCTGAAAAGAATCAGACACAGGTTACTGAGGGTAGGCAAAATATAGGGGTCATTGTAATTGTGGACCTGCCACGGACCCCCGTCCAGGACAAGCTTACTTACCAGAAACATCGCTAAAAGAGGGCTCACCTATATTTTCACAGACCCCAGCCACTGCATTCAAGTAAGTTTGCAATGGACATGAGTCAGATTTCACAAATAACATCTACAAAAAGTACAGAATGCCTTCTTAATCCTTTCATTTTTTATTTTCATGTCAGTTGCTTTTTGCCCCCTAATAACAAAATAACTTCAGAAGATAGCCACATTTTGTGTATCACTATAAGGACCTGAGTCCATCCTGAGGGACACATGGGCCCGTTGTGGAAAAATCAGGATATATTTTAAAATATATAAAAGAATTATATCCATAGGCCCACTGCCTAGAAATAATCAGAGTAAAATTTTTAAGTTACAATTTCAGGTGTTTGACTATGCAAAAATGTATGTTTTTACATAGGTGAGCTCATTTAAATTGTGTTTAATTTCTTATCCTGCTCTCCCTCCTAACAACACACTTTACATTGGGAACATTTTGCATATTACTGCAAGTTTATTTATTATTCTACTTAAATATGTTAAAAATTCAATGGGTATATAAAGTAACATATGGAAGTACTATAATTTGCATAATGAGTCCCTTACTGTGCACATTTTGTTTGATTCCAACTTTTTGCTCTTATAAATAATAGCATGGGCCTCTCTGGTGGCACAGGGGTTAAAGTCTCAGTGCTATCAAGCTATTGAGAGCCAGAGATGCATGGGTTTGATCCCTGGCCAGGGAGCTGACCCGCATGGCACAGCAGACCTCTCCTGTCTCCCCACTGCTCCCCTCAGCAGTGTATTTCAGTAGATCTGCCTGTTCTGCTCCCTACTCTGTCTCTGACAAATCCTCTCACACCCACCCCACCCTCTAGCTTACACCCCAGCTCTTATATGCATAAGTAAATTAAAAAATAAATCTTTGAAAAATAATAATAATAGTATGATGAACATTCTCTTCAGATATCTTTGTCAAAATTTATGATGATTTCCCTAGTATTATGGCATTTGAGAGTAGAATTACTCTCAAAAGGGAGGAATGTAGATATATTGTAAAGAATACTTTCTTAGAAAGCACTTAAAAAAATGGAAAATCCAACAGGAAATGGATGGTCATAAAAGGAATCTGCAGTCACCTGAGTTTACTACTACTATTTTTTATTATGTCACCTAGATAACAACTTCTTTTAAATCAATGCAAACCCTACTCACCTAAACAGGCTGCAGCTCCAACCATTGCATAAAGGCCGGGGGTGATACAATCAGCTCCCTGACTACACCAGCTATTGAAGATGGCCCAGTCATGGTGGTAATAAGCCAGCTGCTCCATTCCTACTCCTAAAAGTCGACCCGCTATAGCACCAACAGCCATGCTAGGGATAAAGAGGCCAGAAGGGATCTGCAAAGAGAAAGCAACAGATGGTTAGTGAGAAATGATGTGATTGCTTGTCATGTGGCGAAGGGCTAGAGAACTGACCCTCGGCAAAGTGAACAGGCCAATGGCAATTTAACTATGCACTCTACTAGCAAGTAGCTGTAAAGATTTGTGTAACACCATAGGGACTAGAGGTTCTCTGCGATGTGCAGGCAAGTATGACCACAGAGAAGCTTAACCTGATTTGGGGTCCATCAGGAAAGAGCCTGAACTCTCCAGACCAACACAGAACTGGAGGCAGAAATTAAGACCTTCCCAAAGAAAAAGGAAAATAGATGGAGTTTCTCATATATACAGACATTTTTCCCAATTCTGAATTCTTATCAGTAATAATACCCTTTATTGACTATCATGTCCTATGCTAAAGGTTTTGTAGACAAGATTTCACTTGTTCTTTACAACCACACCCAGAGATGGATTTCCAAATCACAAAGAAACTAAGGTTCAGAGAATTGAAGTAACTCACCCAAGGTCAAGAGTTAGTAAATATTGGTGCTGAGGTTTAAATGCAGTATCTATAACCATTCTCATGTAGTCAATTCTAACCCAATGCACATGCAAAAAGGATGGCACATAAAGATGAAAGAATTACATTTTTAAATGAAGTACAGATGACGGTTGTATGACTATCCAAAAAAGGAGCCCTCATCTGTCTCCCCACTCTTTATTGGCTCCTAGTAGAGTATAGCGAATCCTCAACTTTCTGAGCTGAGAGGGAAATGATGACAAGAATAATCAAAACAGCAGATTATTTTAAAATAGCTTGTGTTTGATTTTGGAGTACATTTGGAGCTGGGTGGGTCTGATGGCTCACCAATTCACATTAAGTGAAAAAATGAAGCCACAAGGTAAAAATTAACTTGAGAAACATTGCAAAACTTTCTAGGGTGTTGAGGGGGATAGATGACATCATCTCAGAGAGTGTGATCTCTTATTTTCTGAGTTGCTATCTCTTATTTTCGGGTTTGAATCTCCAACTCCCCAGGTAATAGAGGGAAAGAACATGGTAATGAGGCACTAAAGAAAGAAACAAACGAACAAAAGAAAAACTGGAAAGGAAGAGGAAACTTTAACAAATTTTTCTTTGTTTCTTCTGAAACATGGACATGGTGATGGCTACCAAAATTAAACATACTAGAGACTGATTCATTTAGGATCGCCCATGAAGTTCTTGATAATTGTACATTAATATCAACTACAAAAATACCTTTACCACTGCTGAGACAGACTGCGGGCATAGGGAAGTGCCCTCCTGACTCGCCATTTTAGAACAGGGATTTCTGCATCCGGAAGCCACCCAGAGAGTGTGGAACTGGGAAAGGGCTGTCCCCAAAGCCAGAGGTGAGCTGAAATCCCCCATAAGACAGGCCTCTTCTGGCCACCAGTTGGAGCCCAGAGGGGGATCCAGCCACCGACGGGGCAGACCACGGGTGCAGGGAAGTGCCCTCCTGACTCGCCATTTTAGAACAGGGATCTGTGCCTCTGGAAACCATCTAGACTGTGTGGAACTGGGAAAGGGCTGCCCCCACAGCCAGAGGTGAGCTGAAAAGCCCTCACAAGCCAGGCCCCGCCTGGCAGAGAGTCAGACCCTAGAGGGGGATCCAGTGATTTGGAGTCCAGCGGGCAATCCAGCCACTGCCAGGGCAGTCTGTGGGACCTCAAAACCCACCGCTGAAATTAAACAAATACAGAAGGAGAAGATTTTCAGGGACAGCAACATATCCATAGTACCACTGCCCTACTGGACTTCTGGCAAAACAGTATTGGACTTGATTGGACAACCAGTTCCAACATCCCAGAAAGAGCCCACCAAAGAGATGCCGGCATAACCAGTGACACAGTGTCCCAACACATAGGACAAATTAGAAAACAAGCAGCAGCAAGGAGAAGAAAAATTACAAGCAACCAAGCACATCTTCAGGAAAAAGACACACCATAAAAAGACAATGAAACACAAGGCTGCAACAACAGTGACTTAGAGGAACTTATGAGTCTTTCCAATAGAGAATTGAAAGTTGCCATGATAAAAGAACTGAAAGAAGTCAAAAATGATATGGGAAAAATAATCAATGATATGGGAAAAATGATCAAAGACTAGAAGAATGAAATTGAGTCCCTAAAGAGGGAAGTAAAAGAAATGCAGGAGATCAAAGGATTAATGAAAGAGCTAAAGAACTCTAGAAAAAGCAGTGAAAGCAGAAAAGATGAAATGGAAGAATGAATAAGCACTCTTGAAGACACAGAAATAAAAAGAACCAAACCAGAAAAGGAATGAGAAATACAAAGGAAAAAGAATGAAGAAAGACTTAGGGAACTATCTGACTCCATGAGGAAAGGAAATACAAGAGTTATAGGAATCCCAGAAGGAGAGGAGAAAGACCTAGGAACGGAGAAAATATTCAAGAAAATAATTGAAGAGAACATCCCCAAGATGAAGAAGGAGCTGAAAATAGACACACAAGAAGCAAGAAGAACACCAAACCTCCATGATGAAAGGAAAAATACACCAAGACACATAATAGTAAAGCTCCCAAGAACGCAAGACAAGGAAAAAATAATGAAGCTGACAAGAGGGAAGAAACAGATAACATACAAAGGAAAACCAATCAGGCTGACATCAGACTTCTCCGAACAAACACTACGGGCAAGGAGAGAGTGGAGGGACATAGTCAACAGACTCCAAGACAATAAATGCCAACCAAGAATACTCTATCCTGCAAAGATTTCCTTCCTCTGTGAAGAAAGAATAAGGACCATTCCAGACAAACAGAAACTCCAGAATTTCATTACGACTAAACCCCACTCCAAAAAATACTACGAGGAGTCCTAAAGCCAGAACGAACAGAGGGATGAATAAGAATGAAATAAGACCAAAAAAAATTATTAAAAAAATAAATAAACAAAACCAGAGAAAAGACAAACAAAATGGCAAATACAGATGCTAACATATCAATATTATCTCTAAATATAAATGGACTAAACTCTTCAATAAAAAGACACAGAGTCGCAGGCTGGATTAAGAAACAAACACAACCTTTTGCTGTCTCCAGAAAACAAATTTTACTACAAAAGATAAAAATATACTGAAAATAAAAGGATGGAAAACAATCCTAAAAGCCAATGGAACAAAAAAGAAAGCAGGAACAGCTATACTTCTATCGGATAAAACAGATTTCAAAATCAAAAAGGTAAAAAGAGACCCAGATAGTAACTACATTATGATCAAGGGGACAATATTTCAAGAAGAAATAACACTCATTCACATATATTCAGCAAACGAAGGAGCACCAAAATATATCAGACAACTATTGGCATCTCTGAAAACAGACATCAGAGAAAACACATATGTAGTGGGAGACTTCAACACACCACTATCAACAATGGATAGATCAACAAGACAAAAAATAAGTAAAGACACTAAAGCTCTAAATAAGGATCTAGAGGGCTTGGGCTTAACAGACATCTATAGAACACTAAACCCAAAAAAATCCGAGTATACATTTTTCTCAAGCGCACACAGATCATTCTCCAGGATCGATCACATACTGGGGCACAAGACAAACATCAATAGATACACGAAGATTGAAATCATACCAACCATCTTTTCTGACCATGAAGGCATCAAACTAGAAATAAACCATAAAAAGAAGGCAAGGTACTCTCCTACCTCATGGAGATTGAAACCCACACTACTGGAAGACCACTGGACTAATGAGGAGATCAAAGAAGAAATTAAAAAATACTCTGAGTTGAATGACATGGAGGACACCAATTTCCTAAATGGATGGGACTCAGCAAAAGCAGTAATAAGAGGGAAATATATAGCAATACAGGCTCACATCAAGAAACAAGAAAGAACTCAAATAACCTAATCACACATCTCAAAGAACTAGAAAAAGAAGAACAAAAAAACCCGTTAAACCGGTAGAAGAAAGGAAATAATAAAAATCAAAGCAGAAATAAATAAAATCAAAACTAAATAACAATCCAAAAGATCAATGAAACCAAACATTGGTTCTTTGAAAAAAATCAATAAAATAGACAAACCCCTAGGCAGGCTCACAAAGGAAAAATGGGAGAAAGCACAAATAAATAGGATCACAAATGAAAGAGGAGAAATCACAACAGAAGCAGCAGAAATCAAAAGAATAATCAGAAACTACTATGAACAGTTATATGCAAACAAATTCAACAATCTAGAAGAGAAGGACAAATTCCTACAACTCTACAATCACCCAAAGCTAGATAAAGAAGAAATAAAACACCTAAACAGACCAATTACAAGCAGTGAAATTGAAATAGTAATCAAAACCCTCCCCAAAAACAAAAGTCCAGGACCAGATGGATTTACAAATGAATTCTACCAAACATTCAGAAATGAACTAGTGCCTATACTTCTTAAACTATTTCAAAAAATTGAGAAGGAAGGGATAATACCAAACACGTTCTATGAAGCCAAGGTTACACTAATACCAAAACCAAACAAGGACAACGCAAAAAAAGAAAACTACAGGCCAATCTCTCTAATGAACACTGATGCAAAAATCCTCAATAAAATTTTAGGTAACAGAATCCAATAATGTATCCATAAGATAATTCACCACTACCTAGTAGAATTTATTCCGGGGACACAAGGATGGTTCAACATCTGAAAATCAATCAATGTAATCTAACACATCAACAAAAAGAAATATAAAAACCATACGATCATATCAATAGATGCTGAGAAAGCTTTTGACAAAGTACAACACCCATCTATGATAAAGGCCCTTGAAATTCTAGGGATACAAAGTACATACCTCAACATCGTAAAGGCCATATATGACAAGCCCACAGAGAATATCATTCTCAATGGAAATAAGTTAAAAGCATTTCCATTAAGATCTGGATCACGACAAGGATGTCCACTCTCACCACTGCTTTTCAATATAATACTGGAAGTCCTAGCCAGAGCAATAAGACAAGAGAAAGACATACAAGGAATCCAAATAGAAAAAGAAGAAGTTAAACTATCACTATTTGCAGATGATATGATAATATACATAGAGAACCCCAAAAACTCCTCAGAAAAACAAATCAAACTAATCAATCAGTTTAGTAAAGTAGCAGGATGCAAAATCAACATGCAAAAATCACTAGCCTTCCTATACACAAACAACAAATCTGGAGAAGAAATAAAAAAAAAAACCCTTTTATTATTGAAACAAAACAAATCAAAATCTTGGGAATAAACCTATCAAAAGAGGTACAGGACCTATACAAAGAAACTATAAAACACTGTTAAAAGAAATAGCAGAAGACACACAGAAATGGAAAGAAATGCTCTGCTCACGATTGGAAGAATTAACATTATCAGAATGGCCATCCTACCAAAAGCAATTTACAGATTCAATGCTATGCCAATAAAAATTTCAAGAAATAGAACAAATATTGATGAAATTCATATGGAGGCACCAAAATCCCCAAATAGCGAAATCTCTCCTGAGAAAAAAAAAAAGAAGGGAATGGAGGTATCACACGCCCAGACTTCAAACTATACTACAAAGCCATAATCATCAAAACTGCATGGTATTGGAACAAGAAGAGACAAATGGACCAAAGGAACTGAATAGAAAATCCAGAAACAAACCCACAGATTTATGGTCAACAAATCTTTGACAAAGGAGCAAGGAATATGCAATGGAGCAAAGAAAGTTTGTTCAATAAATGATGCTGGGAAAACTGGGTTGCTACTTGTAAAAGAATTAAGCTTGACTACTACCTCACACCATGCACAAAAACCAGCTCAAAATGGATTAAAGAACTAGACATATGATCTGAAAACATACAATATATATAGAAGGAAATATAGGCAAAACACTACATGACATATACCTCTGTAATATCATTACAGACACATCACCCAAAGCAGTGATAGTGAAGGCAAAGACAAATAGCTAGGACTCCATCAAATTAAAGAGCTTCTGTACAGCAAAATAGACAGTAAGCAAAACAAAGAGACACCCCACCGATTGGGAGAAAATTTTTGCACACAACACTAATGATAAAGAACTGATCACAAAATCTACAAAGAGCTGATGAGACTCAACAAAAACAAAGAAAATAATCCAGTCAAAAAATGGGCAGAAGAGCTAAAAAGAAACTTCTCTGAAGAGGAAAAGCAAATAGCCAACAGGCATATGAAAAAAAGTTCAACATCACTTGTAATTAGGGAAATGCAAATCAAAACTACAATGAGATACCATCTTATACCAGTGAGAATGACACATATTAAAAAAAACTAGCAACAACAAATGTTGGCAAGGATGTGGAGAAAAAGGAACTCTCCTGCACTGCTGGTGGGAGTTCACACTGCTCCAACCACTATGGAAATCTGTGTGGAGATTCCTCAACCTGCTAAAGATGAGCTTCCATATGACCCAGCAATTCCACTCCTAGGTATTTACCCAAAGGACACAGAAACATTAATTCCAAAGGGCACCTGCACCCCTATGTTTATAGCAGCACTGTTTACAATAGCTAAGCTATGGAAACAACCCAAATGTCCAAAAATAGATGACTGGATCAAGAAGATGTGGTACATCTACACAATGGAATATTACTCAGCATCAAAAAAGATAAACTCATGCCATTTGCAACAACATGGATGGAGCTAGAAGGGATCTTGGTCAGTGAAATAAGCCAGAAAGAAAAAGAAATATACCAGATGGTCTCGCTCATAGCAGGAATTTAGAAAACCTAAATAAGGGACCAGGAAAAAGACTAATTATAATGAAGTAAAAATCAAAATCAATAGGCAACTATAAGCCAAAGACACACTACAGGGCGGGGGGAGAGAAGAGGGATTAGGATCAAAGCAAGGGGGGTGGGAATTGTATGGGGACTATAACCAAGATGAAAATGCATACATTGTGCAAAAATAAAAAAAATGATGTAAAAAATATATAAAATAAAAAACAAAATAAATATTATTTCATAATAAAAAAGTAGACTAACATTGTCATGGAAAAGGCTATTGAGAAATGTTCCTTTTTATATTAAAGGTCTAATTTTGTGAATGAAAAAAAACTATACCTATATATTGAATTGAACCACATAAAAATGCTATTTTAGTGATCAAAAGACAGAATGTGAGCAACTCCACTTCATTTCAACCTGGTACTTTGCTTTGTTGGTAAACTCCAAAGCAGATATTGTTTTGATACAAAATACACCTGAAATAAATATACCTGAAATAAATACTTCACCATCATTTCTGAGGGGCAAAATATGTTTTCCACAGAAAAAGAGGAATTATCTCTATCTAAATCATCATAAGATTTGCACGGGCCTAAAACTAAGTTTAGAAATTGGAGACAGAGATACAATTGTGTAAGAAGTTAGGGGATGTGTAGGGATAAAGGGGCTTTTGGGGTTGGGGGAATAATGTTGGGTGAAGTTGGAAGCACCTCATGTGATATGAGGATGATAGGATGGCTGAGATTTGCCCTCCAAACACAGAGCCACATCTACCTCTGCTCAGGACCAAAGGAATCTCCTCACCTTCATGCCGAAGGTGAAAATAGTAATGACAATTTTCAAGATGAGGGTCAGGGCCAGCTGCCACATCGCACTGTAGACACCCGCGCCAGCTGGTCGGTCAGGCAGTTCACCTCCCTTGCTTGTGTTGAAACGGTTCTCATAATCACAGAGCTTCGAGGAGTCCAGAAGCCCGCAGTCATTAAACAGCTCGGAAATGAGCTCACTTGTGCTCATACGGGTGTATTCATTGGGGAAAGCCAAGATGGCAGTGATGGCTGTCACGACGAGGACCTCTATGACGGGATACTTGCCCAGCTGGGTGGTCTTACGCTTCCGGCACCAGGCAATGTTTGTGCGGATAAACAGAGCTCCCCACAGACCACCGAATATGCCCAGCAGAATGAATGGCACAAGTTCAAAGAGATGCCATGGGGTGTGAAACTCCACATAAAAAAGAACCAGGCGGCTGTTCCCAAAAGGATTGATGGACCGCAGAGTGAATGCTGCTACCAATGCAGCAAAGAATGAACGCCACAATGTTTTCAGGGGAAAATAGTAGCTGACCTATAGAGACAAGGTGAGGAAGCAAAATCAGTCAAGGTGTAGCCACTGTATATTCAGTGAAAAGTTAGTGCAGCAGGAATTAGAATGGAGGATGAAAAGTCCCCCGAGGTCACTGGTCACGTGACCAAGCACTGAATTGGGCAGAGCACATGGGGACAGCAACGCACAGGGATGCTGGTCAGAAATATTGACATAGGGGCCTCCCTGGTGGTGCAAGGGGTTAAGTCTAAGCACTATGAAGCAATCTGCAGCCACTGCAGCATGAGTTCGATCCCCACCAGGGAGCTAACCAACATGGTGCAGCAGACCTCTCCTGTCTTACCCGCTGCTCCCCTCAGCAGTGTATTTCATTCAATCTGCCTGTTCTGTTCCTCATTCTTGTCTCTGGGCAACCCTCTCAGCGCCCCGTACCTCTGGCCTACATCCCAGCTCTTATATGCATAATAAAAAAATAATGAAGCATGCACATGCTCCATAGACAGTTCAAAGTTATTACCTCTTCTAGGCTGAATAATACTCCACCGATAGGGGCCCCAAAGGCTACAGATACACCAGCTGCTGCTGCGGCCGACAAGACCTACAATCCAAAACTCAGAATTAGTGATAGAATAATGCCACTTTCCTAGTTTCAGTCATCTTTAAAAATGCTTTATCCAATTTATCAAAAATGAAGTTCAATTTATATTTGAGAGTAACAATGTATGTCAACCTTTGAATACATGTGGTCAAGAACTCGAGCAGGCAGAAGCCTTTCCTTTGTAATGCAGGCATGTGCTGTCCTCCAAATTCTCCTCTTCACCCCCAATACTTTCCACTGAACTAGAGTTCGTGGACCTATTATTCACCACCTAAATGACGTACTCACTTATAGTGATGTGTTCACATAGCGCTTTCTTATAAAAGAATTCTTTTTAAATGAGACTTAAAGAAGACTCAAATAATACAAAACTGAAGACAAAAAATCAGAGAAGGATAAAGTCCTCTCATAAGATTCTGGCTGCCATGATGTGTGATATATGGGTTGGGGTAATAAATAAGTTTTTAAAGAGAAAATTGGACAAAATTCAGTTTGTGAAGGATAAGATGGCTCTTGACAAAATAAGCAGTCAGATTTCTCTAAGAATGTAGGATGGTGCAGGAAAATGACTGGGACGAAAGACTGTTTCTGGTACTAGCTGGGAAGGAGTTCAAAACTCACAGCTATGATGGTTTTCGTCTGAGAAAGCTGACAGTCAACAGGGGACTTGAGAAAGGGGATTTCAGGATGTTTTTGAACAAATTATAAGAGAGAAGGAAGAATGAGGGTGGCTGGTTTGCTTTAACTGTAGATTGAGAGTGAGCTAAGTTAATACCCATCCTTCTCAAATCTCTACCTTTACTGTCAACCATCTGCTCATAGGCAAGGCCCTGGGACACAAAAGGATTGCTGCCGATGGTGAGAACAGGGAAAAAAAAATAACTAGAAAGTCTAAATAAGCAACAGGCAGGAAGTAAACTAAAAATTTGGATATTCATGAGTCTTGTTGGAAGACTATGTGACATCTGTACAGAGAAAAAGCCAAATCAGACTCCCTCTCATTTTGTAATGAACTGTTTGCACAAAAATGTCAACTTTAGGAATGGAAGTAACTAGCAATCTATTGTTTCAGAGTCACCTCTATCTATGCAAAACCAGCAACAATCAACATTTTACTCCTACCAGTTAAGTACTTTCTTCAGCTCTTCAACTTCTGTTGTACATTATTCCCATTGAACAATCCCACCAATTTAATACTACCTTTATGTCCTTCTACCATAAGATAGGTGGCTAAACAATCTGCTCAGATTTCCCTCTCTCTCTCCTGCAAGTGTCCCTGTCCTTTTTAACCATGCCAGGAACTTGCCCTCCTAAACCATCCAAATGTATTCCATAATTGAAATTTCAACATCTTTTAGTTTCCTTCTGGGTCTTTGGTCAATTTTTTTTGTTTTTGATTTTTAGCATATATCCCTAGATTCATTTTTTATAGAAATCCCTTTCTAATGAAATGATCTTAGTATTGACCCATTCCATATAATTTCTTTGTAACTCGAGGAAAACAGAGCAAGTCTTAAGTCCTCAATGATAGCACAACAAAAAGTAACCAATGACTTGGAAAATGTTTTTTAAAATATGCTACATCCTTGAAATGATATACATTAACAACTATATCAAACATGAGAACAACACAAAGATGCCTTTATGGGACAAACTGAGTGGGGCTGAGGCCAAAGGCAAAGGCAGATCCCATACAGAGGGAAACTAACTCAGTGTGATGTTAGAGAGAAATAAAAAGATTAATGTCTGACATGCATACTGAATTTATATTTCTCCTTCTACAGCAATAAACTTCCTTTAAAAATCCTTGATTATTTTCTAATAGAAACAGCACATACTTATAGAGCATTGATACATTAAAAAGTCCTCCTTCGCAACCATCTCACTTTCTCACTTAGAGGAGGGAGACATTTTTAACATTTTGAGATAAACCACTTTCCAGGCATTTCTTTCTAAGAGCTATATACTTTTTAAAAAAACACATTAAGGGTCCTCCCTGCTGGCGCAGGGGTTAAAGACACAGCACTATCAAGCTATTGGCAGCAACCACTGCAGCCTGAGTTGGATACCGGGCCAGGGAGCTACCCACATGACCCAGCAGACCTCTCCTGTCTCCCCGCTGCTTCCCTCAGCAGTGGATTTCAGTAGATCCGCCTGTTCTGCTCCCCACTCTCTCTAGTGACTCCTCTCACCCCCCCACACCTCTGGCCTATATCCAGGTTCTTGTATGCATAAAAAATCTTAGAAAAAACACCTTACTTGAATTATACTATACACATTATACCAAAATTTGCTTTTAAAATTTAATGGTGTTTTAGTGCTATCATTATAGACAGGCTCATCTCACTTTTTTTTAACAGTTGTATAGTACTCTATAGTGTGGATGGAATGTTATTTACTCCATCAGGCCCCTATTGATGCCAATTTTTATTGTTTCAGTGTTTCACATATGTTGAGAAATACTCCACTGACATCCCCCTATGCCCCCCTGCGCACATGCACTAGGATGTCTGTAGGAGAAATTCTTAGAAGTAGAATTTCTGAGTCAAAGGGTGTTTGCATTAACATTGGTAGAATCCCCAAATGCTCATCCCTAAGACTGTAACATAGACGCTTTCACCAAAAAAAGAGACTGTTAAGGTCATCGGTTATTACCTCTCTGCGCTTGGCTTCATTCTTCCTGTATTTGTTGAAGCAGTGGCACAGGATATTCCCACAGCAGCAAGCCACGTGCACTAGGGGGCCCTCTTTTCCTAGGCTCAAACCAGATGATACAGCCAGCACCAAAGTAATGGTTTTGATAATCAGGGTCCACTTACCCAAATAGCCCCTAATAATAAAACCACTCAAGATAGTTTTTATCTGCAGGAAAAACAGAGAGATTGAATATAGTCTATGTGAGTAAACAAGGCTAAGAAGCAATAATCTAGACATTATGGAAAATGTACCTTTTGAACAAGTTACATACAAATGTTTGATTTACAGTGATCCCAGTTTGGGAGAGAGCCCAGGAATCCAAGAAAGCAAGAACTGTTCTTTAAGTTTTCAAAAGTTCCTTTTGGGGCAGGGAGCCATGGGCTAGCTGGGCAAGGAGTAGTATATTATGAAAGTGTGTGCATATGGAGAGGGCAAACGGCGGGGGTAGGGGGATAGATGCTTTCTTTCCATATTTGCATTCTCAAAAGCTAGTATAGCCTTGGTTTTCTGCCAAAGAAATGTATAACTCTGACTTGGTCAGGAAACAGAGAGGGACTAGGTCATCAGGATAACCTAAAATCTCAGTGGTTTTAAGCAATGTCAAGCAATCAAAATCAAAAGTAGATGGAGGGCCTCCCTGGTAGCGCAAGGGGTTAAGATGCAACCTATGAAGCTATCTGCAGCCTCCACAGCATGGATTTGATCTCCGGCTGGCCAGGGGTCAACCCACACGGTGCAGCAGACCTCTCCTGACTCACCCAGTGCTCCCCGCAGCAGTGTACTTTGGTCAATCTGCCTGTTCTGCTCCCCACTCTGTCTCTGGTGAATCCTCTCACCCCCCACACTTCTGGCCTGTACCCCAGCTCTTGTATGCATAAATAAACAAATTTTTTAAAAAGTAGATGGAAATACTCTCCTGCTAGTCCAAATAATATTATAGGAAATAGAGCAAAACAGTTTTATTTTTTCTGCTCTAACAAAGTTGCCAATACAACTACTTTTCCAGGTCAGAATCTTGGGCTCTACCCTGCTTACTCTTGGGTAGAAAGTTGGGGAGATCTTCAGAGTCCTGAGGCACTAGGAACCACAGGAGGCTAGGAATCACCTTCCCTTAATGTCCAGATGGCCCAGGCTGGGAGAAAACACAAAGAAGACCTAGAGAGGCCCTAGAGTACCTCAGGGTCTGATCCAGATTCACATTCATATTGTGGTAGATTCTGGAATACACATTAAAGGGTTTTAACCAGAAAGGATGCATTATGGTTACCATTTATAAACCATTTTAGAGACTCACCTCAGGGATTCCGGAACCACAGGCATAAGGTGCAAACACCTTGACAAGAGACACAGCAAGGAAGGCGAATAGGAGAGCCCAGAGGACGTACATAAAATAATTGACTATGTAGGCAAAGGCTCCCTGGAACAAAGAAGAGTTTGTTTCAGTCCAGATGATCACAGTGAGCCATGCCGCTCTTCTGAATAATGGGTTTTCAGGATAGAAGGTCAGAAAGAAAAAGACCAACATTAAATCATTTCAAGATTCTCCTCCCAGACTGTCAGTAAAGGAACTTCTGAAGCGCTGTTACTGAAAATGAGAAGCGTGGCTACACCCAAAGGAAATTGACAACAGCTTCTAAGTTGGACAAGAATGAAGAGCAAACAAAATCTGACACCAATTCACTTTCTATGTGAGTAGTTTGCTGGATAGGTTTTGTAGGCAAATACATACAAAATGATGTCAATTTTATCAAGTCTTAATGGTTCTTTTATTGGAATGGCTGAACCCTCAACTACACATTTGAGGAGAAGACTGGCAGGCAAACCACCTTGGTGTCAAATTCTCACAGAAGGTTTCGTGTCAGAAATTCCTGGGTGATTTTCCTTTTTAAAACAATTTTTACTGATCTAACACTGTATTATTATATACATTTAAGATGTGCATCATTATAGATCAATGTATATAATATACACTAAGCCCACCACTAAAAGTCCAATTCTATTCTTCCCAGGAGCTTTTCTTAAAAAAATACATAATCACATTCGCTAGAAAACAAACCTATCTGTGAGAGAATTTTACGACCACAGACTGAGCAACAAGTTATATAGCAGAAAGTTTTGAGCTCTCATCATGAAACTCCGGGGAGATGCAAGCTATCTGAAAGAATAAAATGGCAATAGCTAGTTTGAACATGGAAAGAACATACTTTTAAAACTCCTAACTTATGATCATGGAGTGCCAGAAAATCTACTTTTCACCACTAGTAAGGACACAAGAACATTAAAGTGCTAGCAAATAACTACACTTCAAAAAAAAAAAAAAAAACACTCTTGAACACTAGGTGATTCTGCTTGCTGATCAAAATAATAGAAGAGGAAACTGACTCAAATTACATGAAACACAAAACTCAATGGACTTTTTAAAACATAAAACACTATTAAAATAATTTCTGACTGAGACAATGGGCACCAGAATGCTCAAGTTTTTTCTGAGTTCAATTTTTTTTTTTTTTAATTTTTTTTAATAGAGGCATGTTTTATTTATTTATTTTTTGTTTGTTTGTTTGCTTGTTTATACATGTACTGGGTACAGTCAGAAGCGCGGGAGGGTGAGAGAATTCACCAGATCCAGAGCGGGGAGCAGAGCAGGCAGAAGGACAGAAGTACACTGCTGAGGGGAGCAGCGGGCGGCAGGAGAGAGCTGCGCGCCATGTGGGACCCTCCCCCGGTGGCCGGGGAGCAGCCGGGGATCGAACCGGCGCCGCGGAGGCTGCGGGCAGCTTCGCAACCCAGCACTCAACCGCTGCGCCACCGGGGAGGCCCCTTCTGAGTTCAATTTTGACACTGGTTTTCCATCATCTTTATCCCCGCCCTACACCAGAGGAACAGACACCTGCTCTCTTTGTCTCTCACTGTAGCTAAGGAGGAAGAAGAATCCAAAGGTAAGAAACAAAGAAGGAAAGGAAGTGAAAGGGAAAGTGGCTGGAACTGGCTAGAGGCAGAGACCAGGAGGCCAAGTTCTTGGCAGAAGAACCCTTCTTAAAACCTAGAGGACTCTTTCTTCAGTCAAGGACTCATTCATAAAAAGGTGAGTCAGAAATTTGTCATTAGGGCAAATCTCACGTTCCAGTTTGAATTGTGGTGCTGGAACCACAGTTCTATATCATGATTGTGGCAGTTGTTATACAAATCTACACAATCTGCCCATGGGATAAAATTATAGAGATATCTACACATACACACACACGCACCCCTATGCATGTAAAACTGTTGAAATAATGTCTGTGGATTGTGCTAATGCTAATTCCCTTGTTTCGCCACTTATTGTACTCTAGTTATACAAGATGTCACACTTGGGGACAGCTGCATGAGGAGAACAGGGTACCTCCCTGTACTCTGTTGTGTAACTTCCTGTGAATCTATAATTACTTCACAAATAAAAGTCAGAAAAGGGGGAATCACACACACAATCCTAAATGTCAGGGCTTCTCAAACGTTTCTACCCAAGTACCCCTAATCAAGTAGAGTAAATCAAGACTTCAGGGTAGAAGGTGGAGTACCCAGGAAGAACTGATATAGATGCTTTGCCTTAACAAGCATGGACATTTTGCATGCCTTTTAAATTATTGTTTACATTCAATTTTTGGAAAAAAAATTCTTACAACTATTCAGGAAAAACTGCTATTCTGGGGAGGGACATATTTTATTCTATAGTTTCACCTATCCTCTGGCATGCTGACTTTAACCCAGCTTGAGAAGCACAGACTGAAACACTCCTATACATATACTTTGTTGAACTTTTTCTCCAAGTCAATATGCATGGTCATTTCAAAATGTTTGTAAACCAAGGTAGGCATAAAACACAATTTTAAAAGTAGAACCACATATCCTAATCATGTCCCCCACACTTCACCAACAGAGTGGATGAGCAATGAGCTAAATGGTACCTATTTTAGGTGGTGAAAGTCAGAGTAGAACGGGGAATTGGAGAATGGTTTTGCTTTGTTTTGCCTGTTTTGTTTTTAGTAGGAGAGATCTAACAGAGGAAGGTAAGGAACTGAAAAGCAAAGTTACTTCTGCATCAAAAAACATAGCCTAGAAGACAGGAACAAATGAAAACATCGACAACCTCAACCTGGAGTAGGGGCAATTTTATTCCTGGGTTTGCATTATTTTGATATGCAATGTATAATTTTTTAATGGTTCTAAATGCTCAGGGGAGAATAACTTTTGGAGTCTACATGATAACTACATTTTTAATCCATTCCATCCTTGGTTAGAAATTACAGCTTACCCATTGGCTGGTCCTGACATTTCTACTGAAATTATTAGAGAAAAATAGATTCAGTCACACATTGGACTAGTAACTAAGAAGAAACACCAGGTTGGCTTAAAACAAAAATTTTAAGGGCCTCCCTGGTGGCCTAGGGGTTAGTTCTCAGCGCTATCACCACAATGGCCTGAGTATTTCAGTCAGTCTGTCTGTTCTGCTCCCCACTCTGTCTCTCAAGTATCCTCTCACCCCCTCCCCTTCACCTCTGGCCTATACCCCAGTTCTTCTAGGCAAAAATAAATAAATAAATAAAAATTTAAAAATTAAGTCATGTAAGCATCAAATGACTCCACTGGTCAGAAGAAATGGAAACGGCAGTGCACGTGAACCGCTGAGAAAGGCAGCTGGCACTGGTTCCCCTTTTCATGAAAAGGAAAACAGGGGAAGAGTCCACAGTTGCCAGCAGTACAGTGTAAGAAATGCAGTCATCTCGTTGTCAGAATAAAAGCCAGTGGTTCAGAAATCTTCGCACACATTACCTCATCGGTGCTGATGATCAGCTGGGACCAGCTATTCCACTCCGGGCACTTGTCTCTGTCTTCAAAGGTGACGTGCTTTGAGTTCCAGCAGCAGTGCTCATGGTTGAACCAGAACCCCCCAGTGCATACACCTTCTTTTAAGTCTGTCATCCAATGAGCAGAGATGTCAATCAAGCCAGCTAATGAACCTGATTTGAGGGGAGGAAGAGAGGGGACAAAGTTCAGTTCAAGTCTTGAAACTTTGTCCTCAGGGGATCAGAATAAGCTTTGTCAGAGAAAATGAGGGGAAAGGAATCAAAATAATGGACAACATAAAGTTTCCCATTGCATCTGCCACCTTACTGGGTGTCTGGTGGATTTGCACATACCGCCTCGTCAACAGTGTGTCTGCAGAATTTCTATGTAGGGGAAATTTAGGGGAGAGCAAAGTGGTTGGGTGGGAGCAAGGGGTGAGTGATTTGGCTCATAGCTGATTTACCTGACCAACACTCTGCTTTGACTTCGAGTTGATGAATACTGTTCCACAGACAGTCAAGTTTATTTTATTCTCACCATATGCCTAAGATTGAGAAAACACAAACTGCCCGCATTGAGGAATATTATGTGGTATTTATTTAATTGGCATGGGGAGGGGAGCTGCTAAACACTATGGGGAGAGATTCTGCTCCATGGACAAGGGAGAAAAGCACTCCAGGCTAAAGGAACTGCATTTATCAAAGCACAAACTAGGATGTGCATGGCAGGTTGGATGATGCTGGAGACATGCTAAACCTAGAACTTGAATATTCTGAGTTTTTCTGAGTGAGCAGGAATAAACAGTAATATGTAGAGGACATTCAACTGAGAAAATGAGGAAATGAACAGTGAACAGGGGACTTACACACTGTGGCTAATACACTGCTAGGGTTAAGAGAGTTATAGTACTTTGGATTCTGGTCTTCTCATCAGTTCTGTTGTCCAGATGAAAAAACTCTGGCACAAAGAAATTAAATGATCCAGAATCGTGCTTTGGGGAAACAGCAAATATATCATAAAATCCACATCCTCTGAATTCCCAGACTGCTCCTGCCTTCAGACACACTGCTTCTATTGTTGCTCTCCAATGCTTAAAAACAAAATACCCTGTGTGTATCAGGGAAAGAAAAATATTCACTGGCCACCTAGTAACAAGGAATACATTTAAAAGTTGAAGGAATTACTCCTACATTCCAGCAGGCTGGAGGCCACTTCGTGCGTGTGTGTGTGTGTGTGTGTGTGTGTGTGTTTCAGTAGGTGCTGAAGGTGTTAACACAGGTTATTTACATATTTGAATAACCTAGTCAAATGGGACACATTGTTTGACACCCACTTTTGGCCAAATCATCCCCACCTTCTCTTCTTTCTAACTCTTATTACTTTTATTACTCAGATTCAGAAAACTAACATGATTAAGTTAGAGCTTGGCTTGTTCTCTCGTTGTTATTTTGCACGTCTTATTCCATTACCACGGGTACCCTGAGTTCTAGCTTCCCTTCTACTTCCACGTCTTCCCTTAGTTTCTCATGTAGCTCCTTCTTCTGTGGTTACACATTTTACCAGTCTCTCCCAACCCTAAAGACTAAAACACTTGCCCTTGTCCTTGTACCAATTCAACCTTTCGTCCCTTCTTTCCTTCCAATGATTACCAAATAGCTCAAAAATTTCCACCGTTGTCTCCCCTCGAAAACTGGCTCCTAATATTTACCTGAGATGGGTTTTCAAAGTCATTTGTATCCTCCTAATTGCTAACTTCTTTAACTTTTTCTCAGTCTTCTTCCTTTTCTTCAGGCTCTCTGCAATGCCTGGCATTATAGACCGTACTCGATTAGCCAGCTGTCAGCAGGTCAGACCATCTCTCTCGTGTGAACCAGAAGGGGCAGCACCACCAACCCAAGCCAGGGCTGGCAAACTGTGAGGCGGATTATATGGATACTGTGTATTTGTATATACATGTATATACATAAGGCATAATGTACGTCATACATTAGTACAAATCACATGAGGGTCAAATCTGCCGCCATCTATGTTTATAAACAGAGTTTTCCTGTTCATAGCCCTGCTCATTTGTTTACCTATTGTCTATGGCTGCTTTTGTGCTACAGAAATCATTTGGCTCACAAATTCTAAAATATTCACTATCTGACCCTTGACAGAAAAGCTTGCCAACCCCTGTCCTAAACACCTTTGAAAACCCAGCTACGGAGGAGCCATTGCTCATTTGCTGCAATCATTTTATAATCCATGACTCATGAGTATTATCTTTAATGGCAGTGGCAATGGCAGCAACTGGGCATTGTGATGAGTGCTATGTGTGCAATATCTCATTTAATCCTCACCACAATCACATAATATAGGTACTCTTACTATCCCCATTTACAGATCAGTAAACTAAAGCTCTTAAGGGTCAAAAGACTTGCCACAAGTCACGAAACTTACAAGTGGTGGGGCAGGAATTCAAATCCAAGTGGCTAGACACTAGAGCCTGTGCTGTAAATTGCTATGTCATCCCACCCACCTCCAGATTTCCCACCTTCTACTTTAGCTCAAATTACAGATATTACTAGGCCCACCTTTTAATGCCATAATGGTACACTCTTAGCACCTCTTGGCTTTCTGCTTTCCCCATGGAAGGAGAAACCTGGCAAGAAATTTGCTTTAAAGCTGTATTCACATAACAAGCTACTATTATTAGCTAGAAGATATTTTATCTGGAGTGGCTCCACAGGTTGGAGAGCATAGGAAAAGGGTGGGTGCCTATCCCACCTCCAAACCACTAGGAAAGAATGAGATTGTAAACTCCTTGAGGGTATGAGCTATATCTTACATGCCTTTCTTTACCACCAAATGAGACTAGGTGTTTAAGAAATAGCTCCGAGGTCCTCCCCTGGAGGTGCAGTGGTTGAGCACTGGGCTGCGAAGCTGCCCACAGCCTCTGCCCGCAGCCTCTGCAATCCCCGGCTGCTGGTGAGGGTCCCACATGGCAAGCAGACCTCTCCTGCCACGCCCGCTGCTACACTCAGCAATGTATTTCGTCAGTCTGCCTGTTCTCTTCCCTGCTCTGGCTCTGGTAAATTCTCTCACCCTCCTGCCCTTGTGACTATACCCAGTGCTTATATAAATAAATAAATAAATCTTTGGAAAAAAAGAAAGAAAGAAAGAAATAGCTCCGAAATTTCTCAGGAAGTCCTTTTCAGCATCTTCTATCCTAAACCCCCAGAAGTATGTCTTTAAAAAATTGTGTCCTGGGCCTCCCCGGTGGCGCAGCAGTTGAGCGCTGGGCTGCAAAGCTGCCTGCAGCCTCCACAGTGCCGTTTCGATCCCCAGCCGCCGGGCGAGGGTCCCACATGGCATGCAGACCTCTCCTGCCGCGCCTGCTGCTTCCCTCAGCAGTGTACTTTGTCAGTCTGCCCGTTCTGCTCCCTGCTCTGACTCTGGTGAATTCTCTCACCTTCCCGCGCTTCTGACTGTGCCCAGTGCTTGTATAAATAAATAAATAAAATCTTAAAAAAAATTGTGTCCTGCAGGACCTCCCTGGTGGGGTATGGGGTTAAGACCCAGCACTGTGGGACTGTCCGCAGCCACTGCAGGACAAGTTTGATCCCCACCCAGGGACGTGACCCACATGGCGCAGCAGACCTCTCCTGTCTCACCCGCTGCTCCCCTCAGCAGTGTATTTCAGTAGATCTGCCTGCTCTGCTCCCCACTCTGTCTCTGGTGAATCCTCTCACCCCCCTGCATCTCTGGCCTGTACCCCAGCTCTTGTATGCATAAATAAATAAATCTTTAAAAAAAATGTCTCCTGCGGCAAAAGGGCTCTTCCTCAAGACAAACACCAAAAGGCAGTGCTACCAGCATTTCCTCATTTGACCTCACGTGCTCAAGGTAGGAGAGGCAAAAATCCGCACTCCTTTACAGATGCAGACATTGAACCTCTCAAAGGTTCACCAGCAATTCATGTCACGTGAGAAAATAGTAAAGCACAGCACTCCACTCAATTCATGACTTGGGGGAGGGGCACACCAAAAGGTTAGGGGATTTGTTTAAAAAACTAACATAGTTCACCATACCTGATAAAAGCCCAATAAGTAGCATCAACAACCAGCCAGAAAAAGCATCACTCACACTGTGAATTAAGGCCCATGTTGACTCTTTGCTTTTATTGGTAATCTAGGGAGAAATGAGAAAACATTGGTATATCTACACATACACTTGCTTTTTGCATCTGAAGATACTTGATAGAGTAAAGAAACACAAAGACAAATCACCTGGCAAAAGAGATCAATTTGGAGTCACTTCTCAAATAATCTTTGGCTGAACCAACATCACCACAAACTTTGAGGTTTCATGGACCCTTGTTCTTGCTGAACCCCACATTCATCTGCAGTATTGTAATGCCTGCAAGTACCTTATTCAGGTCTCCCCATTTCAGCTATTAATATCTTATAGCATCAATCTATTCTGCTTATCGCAGTGGTCTCTCTCTGGCCTGGGCAAGAGATATTCCAAGGATGGTCTATTGACTCACAGCAAATAGTCTAATTGTTTTTCAAAGGACGAACAGACATGGACTTATTTGAGTGGTGAAAGTACAATTTGAGATTTACTATCCAGGCCTGTGCTTCAGGTCTGGCAAGTTCTCAGACTCAATCCCATAAACACTCAGCCTGCCTGTACACTGATGGGAGACACCAAATGGGCACAGGGATGACATGTCTTGATTTTCAAAAACCTGCTGGGAATATTCGAGGCCATCAAGAGGTGCAGAAAGTTTTACCTTTTGGATCCCAGCCTTGTCAATTTAACCCTTCAGTGCCTACATTGCAAAGCCAAGTATTCTGACAGTTTTGTCACTGGTACTTCTCCTTTCTCTGTCCCTCTATTTCTTATCTTTGAAACAATGATTTAGCCACAAATCTTCATCTGCAGCATCACAAATAATAAATTACTATTAAAATTTTAAAGCATTTTAAACATTTGTTTTGACCTATTACATTCTAGTTTCAGTGCTGAATGTAGATGAAGTAACATTTTCCTCTAAAAGTGTCTGGTCTCATGAGGCCAGTTAAAGTTAAAAAAAAAAGTCTCCTTTGAACAATTCATAAACACATTTTAATTGATTTTCAGTTATTAATTGGCATAATTTCTTTCAGATGCAACTATCTTAATAGAAGGGGAAATGTGCCCTTTTCATATCACAGGTGATTTTTACAATCTGGAAAACATGTCAAATACACAACTGGTGACACACTGAACTCTGAATTACAGATAGCAGAAATTCAAAAACTGTAGTACTTTAAAATCTAAAGACTGCCTGATCAATTGACACAATGTTTGTGTGTTTCCAGAGAGCAAAAAGTCTTATAAGAATCACAGAATTTTTCCTAGAGGTCACCTTTTTTAGTTAAAATAAGAAAGCTCCTTGGGATTATCACAAATTCAAAGATTCCACAGGAATTTCTTAACGCCTGTACCTGGGACAATCTGACTCCGTGCTTCAGGTGGTCCTGAGAAAACCAGTCAGATGCTGGGGAAGGCTTAAGAATGAAAAGTGATCTGAACCCAAAAGCTCAGGAGAGAATGGGGCCAATTTAAAAATCAGATTTGAAATCTGGAATCATAGCAGAAATAGTAAGAAAAATGAATACCTACTTGTTGGTTGGCGAAACCTCTTCCCAGAAAATCACCTACTGAGTCAGAATCACTGGAGCAGGGGCCCTACTTGCTTAATAAGCCATCCATGTGTCCCTGACACAAACTGAAAATTGTGATTCCCTGATTTAAATGATACACAGCAACAACTTAAAGGAAAATGATCTTAGCAGACTGCTCTGAAAAGAGAAAAGTGGGGAAATTCTCTTGCTCAATTGAAAAGAATTGGTGCCACAGCTGTGTATTATATTAAATTAATGTCCTTAATTTGAATGTGCTTGGTTTTGTGGTTTTGTTTGGGTTGAATGCACAAATTTGCTTTGGTTTCATGGTTTAATGAGAGTTATAATCACACAGAGTTTATCCTGTATGCTTCAGTAAACACAGGACACTGAATTTTTTTCTTTTATTCGTTTAGAAGGAGCCCATTTACTTTTCTTAGTTCTAAAAATCCTGTTTCAAGGAAAAATCATAAAAGGAAGAGGATCTAGGGAAGGAAGATCTTTGAAACCTATTTTGGATCTCTCTGCTGAGTGCTTGTTTTCACCTCTCTGTATTTATACCCATTTCAAGGCTAGAAGGATCCAACTACTTACCATAGGAAGAATACTCATCATTAAATATAAATTCTTTTAAAAATCATATACAAGATGCCTTAACAATAGACATAAGCTAAAAAACAAACAAACAAACAAAAAAGTAGAAACAAGAAACTGACCCCGAATCTGCCAGTAGACACATAAAGAACACATATCCTTAACTTCTTCTCCTGGTATTTCCTAACACTCCGATACCATTTTTCAACTTACCTCTCGGTGCCTATCCCGGTCCCGAGACTTCTCTCTCACCCAATCAATTGTATTGAAATCATCATAGGTCCCCACACCAGGGATTGGTTCCTCGAGGAAGTCCATCATCCTACTTGAAGAACCTATTCCTCCACCATGGTATGACTTGTCCTCTGTATTGAACAGGAAAAAGACATTAGTACTTCAGACACTGAACTCCTTTTAAAGACCTTTTTCTGAGCACCAAAATGTGAGCCCTTAAACTATCAGAGGACTACAGTTAGGAGGTGCTGACAGAGCAACAGCTCCCCTGTTGGGAACATCCATCCCATTCGGAGGTTTCTGGGGGCTAGGCACAAAATGGTGAGTGTCTTCAGGGCAGTGTGACTGGAAAGGGACAGATGAGAGTGACAGTACAAAGGGAGAACTGACAAGAGTTGACATGCAGCGGGAAGGGATTTATGAAACAAAAGGCGGGAGTTTGGGGCAGCATAGGTATTTCAGCTTCCGTTTTGGAACGGAGACAACAGGGTCAAAGGCCGCTGCCCACATATGCATCAGAAACCACTCGACACTCAGAAGGCAGTAAAATTCAGTCCTAGGCAGTGACTTTTGCCTGAGTGGGGACTCTAAAGGAAGCATGTCAGCCTCTTCAAGAGTTAAACTGGCTAAAATACACACATTTCCGACTTTGATCACTGGTCTTTTAGAAACTTTCACTCTGTCTGAACAAGCTGAGATTTACAAGTAGAGGTTTAAAGACCAGCAAGAACAGTGGGTGGCTCAAAGATAAAATGTCCCTCCTGATCTTTCAACTGGAAAAAAATCCATTTCCCCAACCAGCTCTTTATCTGCTTCACTCCTAGTACTCCTATTATAATTACTTGTGCGAATGTTTTATCTTCCTTTCTAGACTAAAAGCTCTGAGGGTGATTCATCATTACATTCTTCAGAGTCTAGTGTACATTCAAACTCAATAAAAATCAGCTGAACTAAAGTTTATTTGTTGAATGGTTGGGGACAGAGATCATTTTCAAATTCAGAAGTTGCACTCACACAAGGTTAATACTGCTTAACAAACTTGTTCAAATTATTTCCACAATATCCTCTGGCAGAACAACATTTTGCTATTAAACATAAATGTGATACTGCAATCAGGAATTTATGCTGAGGAAAAATGCAGAGTAATGTCATCATTGAACTCAACTGGCCAAAGCTCACATTTGCTGCATCAACCTTGGCAGGGGAGACACTTCACCCAGACTGCTTGGTAATGAATCCCTCTGCAAAGAAGATCAAAGTGGGCCTGGTCTGAGCCCCTCTCCCCGCATCTGTACCCCATCTTCACTTGAAACTCCTAACAGACAACTCAGCACTCTCAAAGGGTAAATTCGAATTAACACCCAAGCTGTACCTGGTTTCCAAATTAGAAGTCTTCTGAATGCCTAATTCAACATACCTTCCACAAGCAACACACACATTTGAAAGGAAAAGCTCTGTAGAATCCAAATCATACTGAGGACAGGGTGGGGTGGGGGTGGAGCAGAGGAGGCCAACAAGTTAATCTTAAAACCCAAACCAAAGTCCTTTTCATATCTTCAAGCTTACCTGGCTGTAAAATGGTTGGCTGCTGAATCACCAAGCCCTGCATTTCCTATCCTGTCAGTGGCATACTGATAAAGATTAATGTTGGTGTGTTGTTTGAGAGCTTGGAGGGAAAAGACCAGCTAAGAAATGAGGGCAGAAAGAGAACAGAGTAAGGCGGGTGGGGGGAGGACAGTAGCTATTTCAATTCTCCAGGCAAAATGCTGACACGAACACAGGACACCAATCAACCAGAAATGTACTTTTTAAGGCAGGTTCTGCTTCAGTTGAATTTGCTCTGGTTTATGAGTTCTCCTTTTAGGAAAAATTAAAAAAGGATTTTGTGAAACTGATTTTTAAAAGCCCCCAATAGCGAGCTAAGGTTACACTACATAGCAAATGAGCCCCCCGCCACCGCCGCCCAAAGGATACTAAGACAAAACGAAGAGGTGCAACAGCCCCCTAATAGGAAAGAAAGAGCCTATTACATCACTAGGAAACGTGAGCACCACATCATCCTTCTTTGTAAGAGTCTCCTGTTATAAACGCAGATTGTCAGCAGCTCAAAAGAGCAGGCAGTGATTAGAATCCGACAACAGACTGCTTGTGATTCTCCAGACCCCCTTCTCCCTGGGGTCACACTTCAGTCCTTGGCCAGGCGTAAGTCTGCTTACCTTCAATCACAGCTTTCTTTTTTTCTGCCTCAAGGAAGAAATAACCTTGGCAGCCCGCATTGAGCCATTTAGGTTGAGGAGCTTTTATAGAAGGCGCACGGCACCAACTGCTTTACAAGGGCACTTGCTGCGTTCTCTGCCTTTCAAAGGAACAAACACCACCTAAAGCACCACCAGTGCTCCAGGCGGTCAAAATGTGATGTCACTGTTGGAATCATGTGACCAGACCCTTGGACCAGCCTTGGAGAAAGGAAGATTTTTAACCGAGCACAGAAGCCTTAAAGACGTAGTCTCATCTAAACAAATGCCACCAGGCTGGGGGAAGGTAGGTCAGGTCAGAAAACTGGGGTCCAGACAAGTTTTAGTCTTCAGACTTCATTTAGCAGAAAATCCAAGAAGGCAAAGGAGAAATAAGCAAAAACATTTTAGAGTTACAGGAATCCTAAGTAGAAAAGGGAGAGAGGTAAATATAGAAAAACATTTTTTTTTAAAATGGACTGAATGGTAACAATACGGATCAAATCTCACAAACGTAAGGCTGAGTCAAAGAGGACAGACACAACAGAGCAGGACATGAAGATTCCATTCACAGAAGTTCAGAAAAAGGGAAGCCTTAATTATATTGTTTTAGGAGACAAAGGTAAGTGACTGCACTACAAAGAGAAGCAAGAAAAACACAAAATTAGAGACAGTAACCTAGAGACCCAGAGCAGGGGAGGGGGGGTCACCATCTGGTGGGAGCACGTGGCAAGGGGGGGGTCTGGAATGCTGGTGATTTTATCTGAGCCGTAGTTACCTGAGTGTTCCCATTACAATTATTCTTCATACACATGTTTTATGTCTATGTACACATCATTTAGAGGGAAATATGAAAAACCGAGCTGCATGTGAACTTACTACATGAGGTCAGTTCTTTAATAGCACCTACTAACTTTGGAAACCCAGAACACAGTCAAGAAAATGAGTTTTTACTAGTGGCGCTTTTTACTAGTGGAGCTCTACCCAAAAAGCAACATCAAATCGCATCTTAATAATCCAACCTGGGTAAAAGCAATATCTCAGTCTCTTGAGAAACCAATCTGGCATTAATGAGAAGAATTAAAATGAAGTGGCAACTGATAGTATTAAGGAACAAAAGCTATTTGTGGTGAGTGGGATTGTCTTATGGAATTATGCTTTGAGGAAAGTAGGTGTACCTTACTCCAAGAGGATAATATGCCCATCAACCTCATAATCCTCCTTCAAAGTCTATTTTTATTAAATAGGAGTTTATCTGTAATATCTGAAGACCGCTATAGAATTCAATTACATTATCTAATAAGGCTTACATTATCTCGATTACTTTATACTTCACAATACTATCTCTTTTGATACCTTAAGAAAAAGGTAGTATAAGAAGTACAGAGTTCTTCCAGACTTGCAACTTTTTTTCAAAGATTTATTTTCTATTTATATAATAGCTGGGGTACAGGTCAGAGGTGCAGGAGGGTGAGAGGATTCACCAGAGACAGAGTGGGGAGCAGCACAGGCAGACGGACCGAAAGCACTGCTGAGGGGAGCAGCGGGCGCGCCACGTGGGAATCTCCCCGGCTGGCCGGGAATTGCTGCGGACAACTTCACAGTGCCGTGCCAACCTGCTGCGCCACTGAGGAGGCCCCAGGCTTGCAACTTTTAATGAAACATCCTGTGTGCTTCAAATGCTACATCAGTGCTTCTAGGAGAGGAACATTTTTAATCCATGCAGTTACTTCGAGACCTAGATGCTGTTAGCATGATGCACTCCTCATGTTAGGGGAAAAGGATGCCCTGAGCAAACGCCATACAGGCCTTGTGGAATCCACCCCCACTGCACACCAAAGCCATTAAGACACTGGAAATGACAGATCCCATCATCACCAAAGGGAGGGTTGCTGGGACCTGAGGGTGGAGCTAAGCTGCCAGGTTTGGTATAAAATCAGGCACATGGGCCTTGGGTCGCTCTCTTGGCCTCACGGTTCTTGTCTCTTCGCCAGCTCTCACCGTGCCTTTGGGATTCCAGGCCAGTGAATGGGTAGGACGCATTCACGAGTTTATCTCCCTCGCTTACTCCCTGAGTTATTCATTTCTTCATTTTCCCTTTCTTTTTTAAATAAACCTTTTATTAACCTTTTGTGTGTGCCTGCAGTTGAGTATTAATAAGTCCCTTTTAAGCGCATGGGTGAGGACCCACAGTCAGGGAACCCATCTTATATTGGGGTTGCCTTGTAACACTCATACTAAAATGAGAATCACAGTCCAGATTAACAAATGAGGCACTGACTGGTATTGAGAGATGGACATGTTACATCCTTTTCCTCTTTTCTGACCCCCATGCCCGTCTGTGCCAAATTTGTTAACTCTAGCATATGTTGATTCTCCAACCTTCCAGGTGTAGATCAACTGATATTATTGTGAAAATAAGACAAAGAAAAGCTTAGCAATTTTTAACGGACTCTAAGATAGAAACAAAATAGTGTAAATAATATCTGGGGACAAGCAAAGTTATCTTTCTGGAAACAGATCTGATCAGTGGCTCTTCCAGCCATGTTTTTAAAACTTTAGACCAGGGTCTTCCCGTGGCACAAGGAGTTAAGTCGCAGCACTATGAAGCAATCCGTAGCCACTGCGGCAGGAGTTCGATTCCCGGCCAGGGATGTGACCCACATGGTGCAGCAGACCTCCCCTAACTCGCCCGCTGCTCCCCTCAGCATTGTATTTCAGTAGATCTGCCTGTTCTGCTCCCCACTCTGTCTCTGGTGAATCCTCTCACCCCCCCCCACACCTCCACCTGTCCCCCACCAGTTCTTGCATGCATAAATAAATAAATCTTAAAAAAAAACAAAACTTTAGACCACTTCATGGACCAGAAATTATTAAATGTTCATAATTTTTAGAAC